TGCATTTGCTTCAGATTCAAATCCACCGACAAATAAATTTGTTCCATGGAATGAACCATTCACTATGATAACGAAGGCAGTAGAAGCTAGTGGAACAGTTACTATTACAACTGTAACCCAGCAACTATTTCGAACAAAGATGGATTTTAATGAATGTTTCATTCATCCAAAGTCATTCTCTTTAGACCCTAACATTTATACAGAACTTGTAGAACATTATACAAACGAGGCTTTATGTTTTCCTGTTAAAGTTATGGATTGGATTCCTATGGACGGTTCATTCTCAAAGAATACAGATAGTTCAAGTGCAACATTTACAGCAGCTTATACGCCTATTAATGTTAAAAGTATTTGGGCACTATTTAGAAAGAAAGACAACTATTATGTTAATTTTGAGAACCCTAAGTTTAAATATCTTCAGCTTTCCATGGGAGCTTATAGAAATATGCCTGCAGAACCTGAAAAATCATATGGACCTGTATTTTATGAAATGGTTGCGAACGCCTGCAATACAAACAATGATATGATAGGATTTAATGAAGATGTTATGAGGTCATTGGTGGATGATGGTAGTGTGGAACATAAATGGGATAGCTATGACAACACACATTTCTTATGTGGTTTTCCAACAGAAGTGGACTTTTGCTTCCAGCAAGGTCAAACATCTACTGCTCCAATAACATACAAATTGTCTGTTAAAGGACCTATTGAACTAGCAACTGAAAATGTACCAAAGCCACTTATTGGATTTATGAGGGATTGTTGCTTTGCCATTCAGGTGCGTGCTAATGGCATCCCCATAATAAGATTAGATGACTATAACTTAGCTACGGACGACAGTGAGGAATAAAGGATGAACGTTTATTTTTAAAGCTTATAAATGAGTTCTTCATCAAGCTCTCGTGAACCTTCACCATCTATGAAACAAACTTTACCAAACGATTATGGAGCACCTATTGAATATTTCTTACGAGCTGCACAATGGCAAAGAGCAGTCTCACCAAGGTTAGGTGTTCCACCAGCTCCTGTCAAAAATAGCATTTGGTCAAGTCCTTATATAAGATATGGTCTCCCACTAGGTTTGCTAGCTACAGCAGTAGCAGTTATGATGTTGAAAAGAAATAAAGCAAATGTTGTAAATAATACTGAAGTAGCTGAAGTTAAACAAACTCCAACACCTTCGCCAAAACCAACGCCTTCACAAGCAAAACCTTCAATGACTCCTGAACCTATGGAAGTACAAACTCCTGTTCAAAAGTCAACTCCTAAACCGACTCCAACATTTAAACCAGAACCTACTCCTCAAATAAATCGTAAAACTCCTGCGTTTCCTTACTGAAAAAATAACGTTATTTTTATTTAATATTAAAATTTTTATTTGATTGAAATGACGACTAAAGTCACTGAAGCAATGAAACAAAAGTTTTTGGTAGAATACATTAAATCAGGAACTATTCCAGAAGGTTTTTACATTCATACTATGAAGGATGGTAGAGTTCAGTTTAGAAAGATAAAGCAACCATTAGATAAAGAAGGAATTTTGAGAAAGATTAAACTTCATGAGGACAACATTGCTAAACTTAAGAAGAAGTTAGAAGAGTTGGAGAAAGGAAGAGAGTTATAAAGCAATGAATTCAACAGAGTGAAAAAAACAGGTGAAAAAAGAGGTGAGATCTCACCACTTCACCTAAATTTATTTTTGTGCTATGTTTTCATACGTGTGAGGGTGGTGATATCATTAATTTTTAAGTTTATTTTTTAAAATTATTTTTTATTTTATTTTTATATAAATGACGAAAACTATTGAGATAACAAACTACAACGATCATGAGTTCAAGAATTTGTTCTTCGTTCCTCGTGAAAATACATTCTATCAGATACGAGGGAGAAAGGGTAAAGTTAGTTTGAGCGTTTATGAAGGAATGAAGAATGGAAAGTTTATACAAGCATACGATACAAACGGTAAGCGTGTTTCATTAGCTTTGTCAAAACTTACAGGTATAAACTATAACAGTGATTTTGACCTATATGAAGAAGAAAGTGAGTCAGAAGATTATGAGCTGTTATATGAAGCACAGCAATGGGAGGAGTTGCAATACTTTTGTAAGTGAAAACGTTTATTTTTTACATTAGTGAGGTGAAGTGGTTGGCGGCTTTGTAAATATTTAAGGTTAAGTTAGTGTTGTCGTTTGTGTTGTAAAATATACGTTAACGGTTTTGTAAAGTGTCAAATTCACATATAATGGGTAAGGAGGCGCGCAGTGCCTCCGTACACTTGATATGTATACTAACTATCTTTGCCTTTCGACTGTTGGGAGTGTCAACTTTTTCGGGAAGTCAAAGATGACTTGATGAATCGAATCATTCTGCCACTCTCTCTGAATGTCGAAAGTCAAGAATTGTGGCCATGATGTGTTCCTTGTAGTTGACAAATGATATTGAATGGCATGATCGAGATCTGGTTCTCCAATTCTGGTGTGAATCGAGTAGCAATTTGTTTGTTCGTTGGCACTATCACGGTAAGTGATTCGGAAGAGTTGACCGATTCCTGGTATTTGCTCTGCGAGATCTGTGATCAATCTTGTCATCGTGTCATCACAATCTTGTGCCTCATATGTTGAGTTACCAAGTAATGTGGCAAGTTCATGGGAACGAAGACTAATCCTTTGGACTTCAATGAATTCAAATTTGTAAAGATACTTGACATCTCTGTTACGATGGGAGAGGACTGATTGGCAACCTTCAAAACTTCTGTTCTCACTTCGGATATGTAGAACAGAACCTGTAAACATACGTTCAAATGACACGTATTTCCCATATTATGAAGACCAACAATACCACCTTTAATTGGGTAAAGGTAGTTCGCCTCTTGTGATGACTGTATGATATCGACAGCTTGATGAGCGACAGCAATGATGTTCCGCTTTGATGGTTTCATGGAGGGTGCAACAACAGCAGCGACGGTATCGCTTGAAGGAAGAACCTTTGTTGGTGTAAAATCTTCGAAAAGGAGTAACTCTTCATTATCATTCAGGGGTGATCCATCAATGTTATAATTTGTCAAACCGACTAAACCTGATATGATCAGAGGAAGTGATGTGCGCTCACCTCGAAAACCATTTTTCATGCAGGACCAGCATGACTTGAAACGTGCAAAGAAACGCTCGACAATCTGCCTGTCTTGGGCAATGGCGTTGTTGCGTTCAACGTCTGCTTCTTCGTGGCTTCTCTTCATCACCACGGCAGTAAGGTGATATTTCTGGATTCCAATATAGCCCCGGTCGGCAAGTACAGGATATTGGTAATCATCAAATCCTCGCTTTACTGTCAAAAAATCCGAGACTTTTGACAAATCGAAAATCTTCTTGTCATGGACTGCAGCCATAAACTCAACGTTTTGATGTATGGCTTTTCCATCTGGTGACACGAGGACTTGGAGCTTAATACCATTGCAGTGGTTTTTTTCATCCCAACTATAAAGCCTCTCTTCCTTTACCGAAGGAATGTTGAAAGGAATTGTAGTGCTGTCTACAGCTGCAACAGCATCAGGGAAGTTTGTAAATTTGTTCTTCATTGTCTCGTAAACGAAAAAGGGGATTTGACGGAGTCAAATCCCCGCTCACAAAAAGTGGACTTTACATGTCAAATTTTAAATGCATGTAAGGTCCACTTTTATGAGTTTTAGGAAGGAATTGGAGGCCATGAGTTACTGACATTTCATCAGTATCTCATAGCCTCCAATTCCTTCTTAAAATGGGAGAAACTTTGTCCGAATAGTTTAACATTCGGACAAAGTTTCTCCCATTTTAAGAAGGAATTGGAGGGTAAGAGATATACCAATGAATGTATATCTCTTACCATCCAATTCCTTCTAGAAAGTGTGCAAACCCTATACCAAGAAGAGTCCTCCGATTCACACCAGAAGACTAACAATTCCGCGAATAAAAACTTCATTTATAGCTAAACACATCTTCGGGCTAGAGGGCGCAACGCGCTGGAAAGCCCCTACCTTTGTTTCAAATATATATAAGTATAATTTCAAATTTCTTTTTCACAAAAAAAATGATAATTGAATGGAACAAATAGTTCATTTTTTTAGATGTTTTTCTTCTAAATACTGGCGCTTTACTAGATAGAAACTTCTATCGGTATAATCTCGGCGGTAATTACTTTCGCCTGAGTGATGCTATCTTCGACATAGTCAGAGATTAATCTTTCTACGAAATGGTAGAAAATATTTCTTTTGAAAATTTTAGGGCTCTGAGGCACAGCCAGAAAGGTCTCGCCATTTCAAACCATACCTAGAAAATTAATCTCAATATATTATGTTGGTCGTCGCAGGATTCACTGTTAATCATACACTTTAGCGTTGCTTCGCCAGCTTTAGAATGTATCTTAAAAAAGTAGTAATTAATAAAATCTGTAATTATGAAATATTTTTACAGGCGTGAAGAATGTAAAAAAGTTTAAAATTACGATTCTCGAACTTATTATTATTTTTGATTGGAATACTATTTTAATATTTCAATCAAAAATAATAATAAGTTCGAGATCTAATTTTTACTTATGCACCAGTTAAACTTTATTTTTAAATAAACTATTTCTATTAAAAGATTTAAACGTTTTTTAATTCTTCACAGTTCTTATTTCGAGTTTAAAATGATATATACTAGAATATATAGATATGTTAAATTGTATGAAAGATTTTAAACGTTTTTTAATTCTTCACAGTTTTCTTAATTTCAAGTTAAAATGATATATATTAGGATATCTAGATATGATAAATTGATTGGGTTTCATTATTTATTAATTTTGAACTCTATTTCAAATTTGATAAGATTTTATATCTTTTAATCACTTCATTTATCAACATTGATAACCATGCGATGAAGATATCATCACCAAGATAAAAGAATCCAGAAGGGCGAACATTGTTGTTACTGTTACACCTGAGAATTCCGACACAGATGAAGAGCCATTAAATGAGAAAGGCAAAAGAGATGACATTGACCAATCCAATGCTCAGGTTCTCGATTTCAATATTCATCAGGATGCATCCAAAGCTCCAGCTCCGATCATGTGTCAACTTCACATATGAACAGTTGAATACCTCGCTGACATTATTGAATCCAACTGTGGAAGGGCCAGAAGAGGAAGAGGGTCAATTTTCAACAATCGAGTCTCTCTCCTCACGCTCACATATTACTGCACATACTTGCCCTATTCAGCATTATGTCCGTGCTACATATTTCCCAGTCATGCTATTCCAAATTAGTTACAAGAACTACCAATGTTATGCATTTCAATCTTTGCGAGCTATTTTCTTCCCAATCACTGTCCACCGTTAAATTCAATTGTTGTAAACGAAACGATAAAAACGGTTTGACAAAAAAGTGACACTTACATGGCAAAAAATAGAGCCTTACTTTTGAGATACTTGAGATTGAAACTGAATCTTATGAAGCGGTGATCTTGAATCACTACATCATAAGGTTCAGTTTCATATAAAATTGTTATTCTTTTGGAATTATTTCTTATAAGATTTTACTCTTTTAGCGGGGAATGTTTGTTTACATGTATATATTATAAATATTTACACGATAACGAAACATTCCTCACTAAAATTACTGAGAAACTTTGAGAAATGCGAACAATTTCCTCAAAGTTCTCAGATTTATATAGATAACTAGAGTCCCTAGGCACTGATTCTGGTTCAGTACCTAGGAGGCTCTAGTTATCTAACGAACTGATAAAATGTTTTTAAATTTTGTGAATATTGCTACCTGTGAAGCACTGACTTCAAATCAGTACCTCACAGGTAGCAATTACATTGAAATATGGGAGAAACTTTGTCCGAATGTTAAACTATTCTGACAAAGTTTCTCCCATTTGTAGTGGAGATGGAAGGCTTTGAGGTATATTGTATTAATATATACCCCAAAGCCTTCCATCTCCACTTGAAAGTGTCCAAACTTTGGGTTAATAGTTTGCAATTAACCCAAA